ATCCATGTTACATTCAACAAAACCACCAATTTTCATTGGAATCGGTAAAAAAACATTTAAGTAATGATTTAAAAAACGATTTTTCATGGAAATATTGAAATCCTGTATTTCGAAAATTGAGCAAGTTTGGACACATATTCATATAAACTTCATTTTCTGAACTATCACAAGGAATTACCACCTGAAGTTTGTCGCACTTATTCAAAACAAGCAAGCAAGATGCGTGTATGGAAATTTGTTTCGCGATGGTTGTAGTTGACTTACAACTGAAAATATGTCGTAGGCAGACATTTTTCATTGCAAGGACACATGTCTGAGTATGAAAAACATTTCCCGCTATAAAAAAACTTCATAATTCGATACTTCTCATGTGCTGAAAATACAGCACTCAAATTATAAAAATGCTAAAGATATATTATGTATACCAGATAACAAGATCTCTCGAGGAATATACTGCAAACTTCAACTAAATCAAGCGAAAACAAAAAAAGAATCGCTAATCAAAGATACAGTTCACCTTTTTTTAAGCTAACTACATAATTTCGACATTACATCGAATCAATCTCAATAGCAATGTGGGGTAAAAAATGTATCAGTCATAAACCATAACTTTCGAATTGTAGATCAGTCAAGTCATTGTAGATTTCAAATTATCCCATGAAAAAACGGTCGCTAATGACAGTCCAAGACGACCAATTAATGATGAAATAATAACAAAAATGCTTTACTATCTATTTTATATTTCAACGTATTCAAAATCACAGCATCTTCATTCCATGAATCATTTGTAAACTTTTGAGCGTTGAATATCAATTGAAATTTGATGTAGAACAATTCAAACAAGCATGTAGAGATTTGGAAGTAGAAGAAACTGAGTGAAGATTTACTCTCGCTCACTAACCACGTTCCTTTACCGTCAACTGTTCTCCTGAACGGATACAGGAATATGACAGGAGGACCGGACGTTGATGACGGTGCCTTTACGCTTATGCACATTTCTCCGGGGATATACGCGACATTTGCAAGATGGGAAATATTAAATAGAAATGTCAAAGAATATTGGACGCGAGGTGTTCACATGCCTATATAAAGTGAATGAAATTCTCTAAGCGGTGGCTGATATAATCACAGTATACAGGGTGTTTCTTAAGTACGTGTAGAAAATTCAGGAGCATGTTGCAGACGTCAAGATAAGAAGAGAAGTTCGTATAAATATATGGCCGAAAGTTATTCGTTTCCGAGATACAGAGTGTCAAAGTTGAATTCTTATTTTTGTTTTTTGTTAATAAATTTCAAACTAATTATGATATTCGATTGCAGTTTGGTATCTGGGGGAATTTTTCAATGAGCATATCATATTTTATGTTAATTTGTCTCTTTCGTAGGGGTGGCGCCACTTACATGTCTTTTGAGTCTTCTGATCAGTCATAACTTTTTTGTGCGTACCTGTATCACGTTTCATAGTAGAAAAATAGATTTTAAGAACACTTTTGTGTTAAAAATATATTCCTGGTATAGGTCGCTGCAAGCAACTGTGTTCGAGTTATTGGGATTTGAAATAATCGCAGCATTTGAATTATTTTTTTGTGGGGTCACTTGAAGGCCTTAGTTTATACGGTGCCAATAGAAAGCGAAGATCAACTTCGTCAACGGATCATGGCTGGATGTGTCGCTATACAAAATACACCTGGTATAATGGAACGTATACGTGGGTCTATGAGAAGACGAGCAGACGCATGCATAATGAACAATTTGTCAATTGCCTCAACTAAGTGTTTTAGTATTAATTTTGTCTCAGTTACTGATATTATTATCAGTATTAAATTGTAATAATACCCAATTCCTATTTCAACATGAATTTTAGGAAAAATAATTCCCCTTACTTCATAAATCAATTTTGAATTCCAACTTCTTGTCATTCCAAATTATTTGCATTGATCAAATCCCAATAACTCGAAAACAGTTGCTCGCAGCCACCTCTACCAAGAATATATTTCTCACACAACAATGTTCTACAGGTACGCACAAAAAAGTAATGACTTTTCAAAATACTCAAGAGACATGTAGGTGGCGCCACCCCCACGGAAGAAATTTGATATAATCATTGAAAAATACCCCTAGATACCAAACTTCATCCGAATTTCACAATTATCTTGAAATTTATTGACAACAACTTCGACACTCTGTATCTCAAAAACGAATAACTTCCATACATATATTTAAACGAACTTTTTTTCTTATTTTGACTTCAGCAACATGCTGCTCCTTAATTTTCTACACGTACTTAAGAAACACCCTGTATAATCTTGTAAAAGAGTATAGAGTTCATGGAACATCAGTGGTTGGAGAAGCAAAAGATCTCTTGGCAAAATGATACAATTTTTGACTATTATTGAATAAATCTATAGAAGTTAGACTTGAGGCATAGTGAATGTTAGAGTTACCCATCCTCAAAATTGATTATCAGGGGTTATACCATATCGCTGACCCATAATGGTACTGACGCAAATGCAAGAAATTTCACAGGAGAAGGAAAACATGAATTCTAGATTTTTATTTCTCGAATATCAAATGAGCGATTCCATTCATGAGTTAAAACTTGGTATTGGGGGTAGACCCTCACACTCCAATGTAATATGTTCGGAAAGATGATATTTTGAAATGAGATATGGATATTTTAAGTTATGTCTTTATTGCTGCTGAACGAAAAAACATATCAGTCAATTGTGTCAATATTTCGATTATTTTCCATTGGTTTTAAGAATGAGAAAATAGTAAGATGTTATTGATTCCAATCCGAAATGAGATTTTATGTTTATCTAGGAGCAATGGTAGGAGCTAAAATCCCCTGTAGGCTATAATTATAATAATGATAATCAAATCTTTGTCTGAATTTCCGAGGATTAATGAACAACCCTCGAATGATGAACTCAGGAACACAACTGTCAAAAAAATAGGAACTGAAAAATATTATCCAACTGTATAATCAGAGAGACCATGCGTTCGAAATTTCGAATAAATGATAAGTATACAGGATGTAATTTTATTGTTAGCTGAAAATATAGGATATGGTTTCTCAGCTTATTTTGAGAAGAAATTTAATGTTCATATGAACATATGCCATAAACCTCTTAACTTCCGAACTATATAGGGTGTTGAAATGTCATTTCCTCTTTTTTGATTGAATAAACTTTCACAATGTAAAAAACTGTCACGTTCATGAATACTTGTCAAAATAAGAACGTAATCGATCAAATCGATCAACTGTTATTATTTTCAAAACGAAATAGGGCACTAGCTTATTAGTTCAGGATAATTTTGTTATGCCACAAATGCATGAAAAAAGTTTTGATTTTTTTACGCGAGAACGGTTTGTCGGACGGAAAAAATTCAGGAGATTAAATTGTTGCAAAATAAATGAGAATTTCAAAGAATAGTTTCATATTCAGAAAAATCGAGTACGTACAACTTATTTATTCAAAATCTCAGGATACATCCGAAACGGACGCCACTGGTAGGAATAATAAAAAATCTCGTGCATCAAAAAATGCCTATTGGTGCTAAGTAGGTGTATGTCGAATTTCATGAAAATATCTGGGACAGTATTGAAGATATATTTATAATTTGATAATAATAATGGTCTTCATTCATCGATTACAAATTACAAACTACAAATTGCATCAAGATTGAGAGTGTTTGATAATGCATAGATGAAGGGCGAAGTTCAGCCTAGGCTGTTTTTCAACTTAACCCGGAAAACGATTTTTTTCTTAAAATTTTCAAAATGAGCTAACTAGTGATACACACGAGACCAACGAGACGAGACTTTCATAAAGTCTCGTCTCGTCTCGCTGATGAAATATGAAGTCTTGTCTCGCGTCTCGTACGAGAGTCTCGCAAATGTATCGCAATTTCGTCATGCATAATCTAGTTCCAGTCTAGTACGGGATATTTTCTTTTATCTTCTTTTTAGGTATAATGTAGAAGTAGAAAGAGGAAATTACAACTAAACTAACATTATTTATTGAAAAGTAAGTACATAATAGGTACATACTTACATCATACATCTAAACAAGAAAAAAACATAGCATTATATATTCGAAAGTTATAAAATAAAAAGTAACACGTATATTCTAAACAAATAAACAAAACAAAAACTTTAATCCAACATTATTCTGCCGTAAGAGAGAGAATAGTCCGTTTTCGTTTCACGCATTACGACGTTCTACAACAATCATGGATTGTGTTTTTGAAGTATTTATGAACGGAATGTTTTGTCTATCTGTGCTAAATAGTGCTGAATTCTTTCTGAATATGTTTAGTTATGAATTAAATTCTCAAGTCTGCAGTCGGCACTCAGAAATATTAACCTGCGAGACTCTCGCACGAGACACGAGAAGTCTTGCACGAGACGCAAGACGAGACCAATTAAAGTCTCATCTCGTCTTGTCCGAGTCTCGTCTCGAGTCTTATCTCGAAAACGAGACGAGACCATGCGAGACTCTCGAAAACGAGACTCTCGCGGGCCATCAATCAGATTACACCCTGTATATGGAAGTATACATGAAACTGAACAATTGTTATTCCAAAAACCAAAAAGCAGAGTGTATTGGAATAGGTTTGTTATATTCGTTCCAACCAGAGATTGGAAATCTTTTGTTTTTAGATGTATCGAATTTAAGTGTCCGAGGGTGTTAATTCTTGTATGTTTTTTCGCAGACGTCTTCTTTTTCTTCTGAACAGTTTCAGCATTCAGCGAGGATTAGTTTGTTGCAATTATGATGATTCATGTTATAAATCTGTTCCCGATAAAATTATTAGTGGATAGTGATATCCGTATCAACATAATTGATTTTTTTATCATAACGTTTTCAGAATGGAATGAGTGTGTAAGTATACACTCGGGTATAATTACTGGTAAAAGTCCGAAATGAGATATTTAAACACTATAGTGACTACTTAAGTTTGGTCATAACTAGGAATTATAAACATCTCAGTCATAACGATGTTATGAAAGATGCCTGTCATTCTGACATATTTTCATTACATTTTTCAGTAACATTAGTATTTTATCAGAATATGATTGAATCTCAGGAGTATTTCAAGGCAATCTCTAATATAATTAATATAAGTGGAGTCGACAAGTGCAGTATAAATCCAGAAGCGAGTTTGTCCATAGTAAAATGCATTGGTAGAGATACAGTTGTGAAAGAGCTCATACCAGCTTACCATTCGCGAGAGTCTGTGGATTATGAGCCCAGGAAAGAATCATCGATATGTTTCAGGTAAAAATCCAGAGGAATTCGTATTTAGAGGTGAATGTATTTCACCAACATTTTTGTACTTATAACTACCTACTTGCGTTCCATTGGTAATTTTGCAATTATCATGAGATGAGTTTTTCTTTCGATAATGATTTCTCACTACATAGGTACGAATTTTTGTCTGAAATACACGAACTTCATGATGAAAATGTGAACAAACCACAATTTTCAGAGATATATTTCACGAAAGTTTTCGAAATCTCACCATTCATGAAAATCAACAAGCAATTCGATTTTTTCGGAGAGTTCTTCATGATTCAGTGAACAATCTTAGCAGCCAACGGTCATTCAATTGTCAACAAATGAGCAAAAATACAAACTCACGATCAATTTCTCTTGAATAATGTTACACACGCCATTGTTTCGAATAATATTCCTCCTTCTTCAAACTCAGTAGGCATATTCCAGTCGCGACCCTTTGACGCCACGCAGAGTCGTGCTGGATGAAATCCAATGACTACTTTCCACTGCCTGTGAGGTGAATAATCACTGGGGCCAAGAACCGTGTGCCCTGAGTAAACGCAATGATCCAAGTATGACGGCTTCCTGCATTCCACCAGCCAGGATGTGTGCCTTATCGCTGCACGCTTAGATTTTCTGGATTTCCGACAGCAGCGTATGTCGTGTGCCTCCTTGGGAGACGATTATCAGGATGACCGATTCCACAGAATAGTCTGGATAGAGCCTGCGGAGTTCGAAGAGAAGATCTCGATATTTAGTCCGTTTCTTCTACTTCAAAACGATGTTCGATTCGGCTGTCGATCACGAACATCGCTCTGGTTTGATGATCGCGGAGGACTACATCAAGCTTGTTAGCTTGTATTTGTCTGAGGGTGGGGAATAAGAAGTTCCAATAAATTCGGCACCTCTCATTCTCCACAACGGACTCAATATCCCCCGGAGCATAGGGCAGCAATGGGGCCTCGTCTATTCCGGACGACTGCCTCAAATGATAGTAGAGCACTCGCAATGCCGCATTGTGTCTATTGATATAGGCCAAGACTGCATACAACGTGCATGAAGACAGCAGGTGCATAATTGTCTCGGGCGCCCTGCGGCAGACCCTGCAATTTGTGCCAGGGACCTCCATACCCATGACACGGCTACGATAGACGAGAGTGTTAAAAACATCATCTTGGCATGCCATGATGAACGAATCTGTTTCCAATTTGAGCCCGCCTGACTTGAGAAAAGCAAGAGTCAGTTCTTTGGATAAGCCCCGGTCTTCAATGGTCTTAAATTAGACCGAATGCATGGGCTTATATATGTGAAGCTGCAGGAGCTTTCTCACTTCTGCAGCTTTGATGCAGGCCTTTCTCCGAGAGGGCTCTAGCTCAGAAACTGAGTCCTGAGCCTCACGCTCGGAGTCGAAAATCAGAGACAATTCGTCGACTGCTCGACGTGCTGCCCTAAAAAGAAAAGCTGCTATACCCCTGCCTCTACCTGAGTCCACGGTCACCCTGGTCTCTAGGTATGTATAATCGTGTAACGGGCGAATTTGAATGCAGACTCCTATGGAAATGCATCATCTTGCTAGTATTTACGTCATGTTTTCGCAGCTCGACTTGAGTTCAATTCATCACCCAAATGAGTAAAGTAGGATCGGGACAGCAATCATGTTAGTAGCAGCGACTTTGTTCTTTCCCGACAGTTCTGGCGACCAGATCTGTCGGAGCCGCTGCCGATACTTGCGGCGGAGAGCGTCTTTCACCTGATGTGCCTCCTGAATGTGAGTTTCATTTACACCAAGGTACGTCTCTCCGGCATCCAGGTGGTGTAGGATGCTTCCGTCCACGAGCTGCCCGTCCTTGTCGGAGTTCTCGCATCGTCCTCTCTTGAGATGAACCATCAGTGCACATTTGTCCATTCCGAATTCCATTCTAATTTCCTGCATACCACCCTGAGGGATTGGTCCAGAGTGATATTACTATCATCATCATTATTATTATAATCACTATTATTATAATTATTTTCATCATCATTTTCATTATTATTATTTTAATTATGTTTTTATGTTTCAGTTACATTGATATTGACGGTAAGGTAGTCCACAGACGTGTTAAACCTCCACAAAATTGTGAATATTTTTTGGACTACGAAGACTTCACCCATATTTTCGTCGACGATATTTTGCAAACAGCAGCTGAAATTCTCGTCAATAAGTAAGTTGTATATCATGAGGCCTCGCATTCTTGGGAGTTGATACTTCGTCAACATCGATTGAATCTATACATGGAAAAGTGTGAGATAATATGTGTATCTTTTTCACTTTCTCTTCTCTCTCTGCAAAATATGCCAGCAGATGAAACATTGCATATTCGCGGTGTATTCATAGAGGGAACAATAATAGTCATTTGTTTCACTAAAAAAAAGTACAAAATTTAATGCTGCGACTGGCGTTTCATAGCCTAGGCGTAGCCGAGGCTAGGAAACCAGCCAAGGCAATATATCATTTTTTGTTCACCCAATGTCATTGACAATTTTGGTTACCAATTTGTTTAAAATTACTTGGAACATTGCATAGTAACAAACTTTGTCTGCCTAGGCAGTAAAAGTACACCTTTTTTGCCTGTTGAGTGTCATTGAAAATTAACTTCTGATGTCATTTGGAGGAAAATAATATTTTTGAGTCTTGTTCCTGTTATGTTACATCGATGGGAACGGTTCCTAGTACCTACAAAACGTTTTTCCATTTCGTCTTCTTTTCCACTTTTTACTATTTGAATTATATATCTGAAATCCATAATCCATAACCACCCCAATACCTACCGTCGAAAACGTTTGATTTGCTTATGAATATATGGTATACTATAACCTAAGTATTGCTATTCACTATTGATTATTGTTTCATATTGGTTTCAATAGTCCCTATTGAACGCGCATTATTTGAGTTGCTGAAAATCCCGAATGTGGTTGTCTGTTTCAAGAGGAAATTTGAAATGTTTTCGAATATCAGTTCATTATGGTAAATGGTATTTTAATTGTACATTCGTTATGTACGCTGTATAATTCCTCATGGAGATTTGTGAGACGATGAGTTGTTGTCCATCTCTAATTCTTCAAGTGAATCTGATGAAGAAGAGGTATTACAAATACTTCCGGTTTGACCGGAAATGAGCCCAACTCCCGATTTATAAATGGGACTCTCTGTAAATTTTTACTCATGTCGATCGAGATTGGCATTATGAATCCAACAATACCTTACTTGTCAATATTTGACGAGTCAAGTTCTTTTTATTTCCATTTTTATTTTTCGATGTTCGATAACCTGGAAAATATAATTTTCAGCAATCATCAAATAGCCGCGAATGTATTTCTCTGTGGAAGATTATAATTTGATACCACCAACTCCCACTTGTATTGCACTATTTTTCGGAATGATTGCAGAAAGCGATCATACCTACTAACGAATGATACATATACGATATATGTTATGGGTCTTAGCAACAGCTCCAATATTCAGAAAAATAGTGGGAATAAAGTGGAAGTGCGTGGTATCAAATTATTCGTTAGATAATGATCTTTCACAAACAACCGAGGCATTCTAGATCGGAACATGAAAATTGGAATAAAAGATACTTCATTTGTCAAATATTCACAAGTGTGGTGTTGTTGGATTCAGTATGTCATTCTTGATCGAAAAGAGTAAATATTTGAAAATCGAAAGTTGAACCGAAAGTACGGCAAGGCAAGTAAATATGGCGGTAGAGTTGGTCGTTTCTGATACAATGATGTGGATAGACGGCAGGATCTAGCTGTACTTCTTTCCTCTTCCTGGTGAACCAGGAACAGTTTTGGGTTTCCTCTACTACAGCAGCGCTGGTGTATGACAATGCATCAGTAAGTCGATTCAGGATTTTTTCTCGATATTAAATCACGAAGTCGAAATGTTGAAGATACATGCTCCAACTTGCAAATCCACCACTTCACCTCTTGATGTTGTGGATGCACTCAAGTGATTGATGATCGGTCAGGACGGAAAAATTGAATCCCTCGGATAAAAACGCATCTTCTCGATGCGAAAGACTCTCGGCCATTCTGGATATAGAAGCATTCGATGCCTCCTTTGGGACACCTATATCTTGACATCTTCCAACCACATGATCATCCATATACGTTCTGGATGCTCCGGTATCTAACAATGCCTCACCATGGAATGGACAGGCATCTTCAGGTCGGATGGGTCAAGTCGTTTCAGAGACGTTGGTGGTATGGACAGTCACGAGACATATTTCCTTGTTTTCTACATCTCGAGCAGAATCATTTGATAATAGATCGACACTGATCCCTTAATGTCTAGTTTGCCCACATATTCAATAGATAGCCGGTGCAGATGTCCTTGACTTGGTTCTTGGAGGGTTGAATGGTCTAATTGTACTAGCTTTCGTAGTCCTGTTGTTCGCCACAGCGGAGATGAAACCCCTTGATAGCACGAGAAAGAAAGTAACAATATCGAAAAAATCACTCAATTTAATATATTGACGAAATTGGGGTACAGGTTCCGGTATAGCCACATCAGTTCCTGCTTTGGTGTTATGTTGCCATGTCTTCGTACAAGCATCTGGATGTCGGTTATATATGTTTGTAAAAGCTCACTCAAGAGTTGAAGATGTCTACCAATTGCAACCTCTAGGTCTACTTGATAACAGGCTGGGAAGTGGAAGATCCAGAACAGTTCGACAAATCTTCCTCACGTCACACGGGAGGTCCGATTATCACGATACCACAGAGCTGCTTCTTCTCTAAATAGATCTGGAAGTACGGCGATTGATTGAATAACTGTTATGATATAGGATGTTCAGATCCCTTCGAGTCTTTCTAGAAACGAGACGGGATCTCGAAGTCCATCGAATGGTAGATTCCAGTCTCCGGTTAGTATTTGTTCATGACATGTATTTGACATTGATGCGGATGGTACTATTCTTTCTGGTGGAGCTAGAAAAAACTTTGCGTATGCCCTGTTTGGAGTCAGAGACTGTTAACGGTGCTGGTTGGGTACACGAAAAAAAAATGGTCCAAGTAAAACGTTTTCTTCTTTCTTCAGAAACAATTACCTTTTGCCTCTTGAAAAATGATAACTCTGAACGCATGAACTTGTAGCTATAATATCATCCACCTACAGCTTATAGTTTTCATCCTAGATAATTCCCTTTGTATAGTCCTAGGTTGGGTGTCACACATATCCAAATCTCATGAATTTTCAGGTATGGCAAATATGTGACAGTCAATACTAGGAACCCTTCGACTGTGAAAAATATCGTATCATGGCCCGCAGTCAACGATTTCACCGTGAATCTTGGTACTACAAAACTCAAAGAGTACATAGATTTCACGTCAGATGTGAACGAAAACTGGCTTTATGCCGTCAACCTTATCGCCGAGCAAAGCAACCAAGTCAGCGATTTCTATAAGTACGAAGCCAAGTTTGCCATCCCGACCAAATGCTACCCAATTGCTCAGGCCACGGTTAGCATTTTTTTCACGTACGAGGTGTCAAGAGTGAAGCCTAAGCATTGCCCAGTAGATGTAACATATCAGATCGAGGGAAGTAGAAGTATTTTAGTGCCTGGAAGACATATCATCACTGAGAACATGCTGTTCAGAGTGGTGGATGCGAAGATTGCTTTCTTCAAAACGGTCAAGTATTAGAGATTTATGATGTTAAAGATAACTGAGCTTCGTTATAAATGAAAAGATGCGATTATAAACAAACTCGATCAGATATAAAGCGATATTTCAATGATTTATAAGATATTTGTACTTGATGATGAGAGACTAATGAATTTAAAATTTTGCTATTGAATTAATGAGTCATTATTTTATGCCCTCCAGATCATCAAGAATTCCTTCAATGCCCATCTTTTTCCCGCATCATCCCTAGGGTTCACACTATGTTCCTCAAACATAATAGGGATCAGTCATGGAAACCATCCATCCTTCTCCAAGTGGTCCAGATTTTTTCAAAGGAAAAAACACAAACACTAAAGGCGTTTTCGGAAACCTACTCGGGTTGACTCGATCCCTAACCTGCACGTTCGTTTACCTAACCCGAGTGACATACCCATGTTCGGAAACTTCGGTGTTACTTACTCGATCACTAACTCGGGTTCATGTTTCGCAACCCTGCTCCAAAGCAGGGTCAGCCAGAGTTACTACCTTAGATCATACACTTACTACCACAGAACTACTCATTTCTAAGGTCACTTCAGATATTATTTGATTTCATCAATTGAACAAGAAGTGAATTATGTTGAATAGCATTAGTTTGATGATGAAAATACACCAACATCATGAGCAGAAGCAATATTCATCATTTCTAGAACAATAACAACGTGTATATCTTTTAAGAGTTTAGTGGTATGTTTTTAAATATATGGAGAAATTGATCCGAAAATATTGATATCGTGTAGCAAACTGAAAAAATTGCATACAGCTGTAAGAAATCAAGAAGTTCTATTCGAAGAGGTATAAAGCTGACTCAATAAAATAGTAACCTGATAAGTTCGTAAACTATAGTATTAGGATAAGTGATCCGACTGATCCATCACGTGACCCGTTCAGATCGAGTCAACAACCCAGAGTAAGTTTCCGAAAACGCCTTAAGTCGGTCGACCACGAAGTTTAATTACAAAAGTTTTTGTGACTAGTTTCGGCTCAAGCAGCCATCTTCAGACACAATATATAGTACCTGTAAAGATATTGGTTTACAAGAACAAAATGACATATTGAGGAAAAAACATACCTATAAAAGGAGACGTGGAATCACATAATTAAATTAATTGAAACATGAATAGCAGGGTCATTTGGCCAAAATTCAATCCGGTGAAAAAATTGATATTCTTTTGAACCAACTGAACAGCCAAAAGAACCTTATAATGATTAGATTCAACATTGGCAAAAATTGGGAAAACCAGCAGTAAATTCACTCACATGAGTTTCATCTTAAAATGGCTGTTTTTGTGAAAGACAGAAGCCAAGGAGAAGGCAACGAAATGTCAAGCAAAGCAACAGACGTTGACAGAATTACAGGACAAATGGCAGTGACATTTGATAAAAACTCAAATGACATGCACAATATATTAGATTACAATTTTGAGTTATAATAATGTTGCAGTAAAATTCTGAAAAATGAATTAATTACAAGATTCATTATGTCTAAAACACCTAGAGGAGAGATAAGTGGTAAGGCCGAATGATATGTAATCCAAGAAGAGAGAAGAAGTGTCACGGTGTAGTAAATGTGATCTAACCCACCTTCCTGAGTTCTTCTTCTCAAGTAATTATTCATTTTTCAGGAATGCAATCTCACTAATAGTCCAATGAAATGGAATTGTCACGCCAAAAAAAAATTAAGTAGTCGGTGCTGAATCCGAACCTGGAGTTTGCAAACATAACTTTATGTAGAGTTCCGAGATATTCGATAAAAACAGCGCATTTTTTCGCATTTTCATACTGTTGTCAATATAAGGTCGAAGTGTCATACCTAATTATTGATTCAGCGAAGTATATCACGAAGGGGGCGATATAGTAAGTTGATTCAAAATATATTCAACCATATTTACTATCATTTCAAGATCTGTATCTTCTTTTCTATGGAATTGGATGCATATTCCACAAATATGGAACATGAAATATAATCTTCATGTGGTGAGAAGATTGTGGCTCAGTAGATTTTACAGAACAAATCAACTACTTCAACATTAGTCATTGACTTTATAAGCAGATAAAATGAAGTACCTATGATATGAATTCCGTTCGAAAATATTCAATAACTTCCTTAGCCCGGGCGCACATTGAGACGCAGGCAACACAGGTGACGCAGCGCAGGACAGCACGTGTTAATCAAATAGTTTTAATGCATCAACGCAAATTGCGATATAGGGTAGTGCTCGAGACACAGATTTCTGCGCGAGACGTGCAAACGTGTGTGGCTGTGTGAAATTTTATACAATAATATGTATGAGGAATTGATGGAATTGGTCAGGAGGAAGTGTTACACTTCGTTTTATTCCTAACGAAAATCCTGCATATAGCAAATCTATTTAACATTGTTTACGTACGCAACCTTGTATTATTCTGTTCCTCCGCTCATCAATTCGTGAAATTAGGTAGGTAGAGATACCGTGGCCGTGTTATCGTTGGTCTGTGAACTGGTCCAACACATTTTGTTTTATTTGGCTGAACTATTTAGTTATGATTCTCCGTTCATCAGGTACTGTCAGTACACGATATCTTACCTGGGCGAGGCCTGCCTGACTGTTGATCTCCGTGAATTGTAGCATAGGTGGTGAATCTTGACCATACTTGAATTGTGAGACCTTTTATAAACAGTCATTCTACAATTTCATTTCCATTTCGATCATTGTTTTGTTTACATCGAAATAATTTTTAATTAACCAATATTCCACTGTCAAAGGTGTCACCTGGCGATGACTGACAAGTGAGTGTTATTTGCGAGCTAATCTTCTTTTGTTTACGTATGAGCACACTTCTTCTTTATCTTAAGCCGCTGTCAGAAGAGGTTATTGACGGTAGTTCGGTTATATTGTTTTTGTAAAATGGGGTCTAGTTCAGACAATAATTATGATTGAAGGGTTCTGTTCTACTCACAACCCCTTTAGTTTGTTATTCGCTTACTATGTGGAATATTCGGTGTGATGTACTCATGGGTTGTGTCCCATCATGTCAGCGGCTCTGGCCGAGGAAGAAGATTCCTTACGTAATTCTGACGCCTTCTTCGACCTTCGACATCGGCGCAGGTCCGAATTCGAGAATATTCTAGATTTTTCTGGAATTAATTGATGCGCATCAGGTTGGCTGTGGCGCAATAATATCCGCTTCTGTGCTGTGCTCGGAAGTATAGTCTGGCGAAAGTCAGGCCATTTTCCTTTTTTTTTCAAAAAAAAAATGTGGTGTAAAGCCATTTAGGCTCAAGTGTTGTGTTGGTGGTCGGGATGGCTCCCACCAACAAGGCTGATTGCCATATTAGGATGGCAGGAAAAACATTCTTCCGGCGGGAGGACAGCCCACTGAAACCGGCGAGACGATCCATATTCATTTTGGAAACTTTGAGTGGACCACCTCGTGGTACAAGTAAGCCTGAGATTCGGTTCTTTGTAAATAAGTTACTTATAGTAGTAATTTTTCCAATAGTGTTGGGATTATTTGACCAAGAATCTTTATTTTCTGGATACCTTTGTTGGTTCTGGTACCAGACCTCATTTTCGAGGGATTTGTGGCTGAAGAACACGAGGCCGGCGTCACTCATCAACTTCATCAAACCCGCCCATCATCAAAGGTATGAGGTTTTGTCTGATCTTTTCGAGTGCTATACATGTTCTCTTTAGGGTTTTTCGTCCCAGTCCCTGGGTACTACCTCTACCAAGAGGCCATAGAGCTGTAGGGGCTCTAATCTGTGGCTGATCAGATCCACAGCCTTCTGTACCTCGCACCCTGAGGATTTACCCTGTAGCACCCCTGCACTTCTTCACACCTATGTTCTGCACATCTTCACATCAACGTCTGCACATCTTTACACCTACGTCTGCACATCTTTACACCTACGTTCTTCACCCTGGACATCTGTATCCTGCACCCTGGACATCTGTATGCTGCACCCTGTACACAACTACCCTGCATATTTAGGACTGTGCACCTGTAGTTCTGCTTCCTGCTGGTGAGTTCGTTCCATTTTTTTTTGTACTGGATAACTGCCACCAAGTATTACTACCTATAAGCCTAGTAAAAAAAGTTGATTCAGTCCTGAGGGGTTAATATCATATAAGCTTTGACCGATTCATAGTTTAATACCATATTTTGTTATCTTTTGTCTGATTTTCACACCTGGAAACCAATGTGCACTGCGGTATTATCACCTATATTTCACACATGAATTTTATATAATTGTAGGCTGTTTTGGAGAGTTGATTTCAACCAGTCATTCTCATGTATCTTGAGTCAAATTGACTACCATCTACTGAACCAGAGAGTTGATTTTGGTCAGTCTAGATTATGTATGTTAGCCATATAGTTTTGTTAAAATCACATACAAGAGTATGATATGCCTTTGCAGAATATAAAAGGTGATATTTTGGTAGAAAAATATAAGTATTTTCTTTACTGTGCCTAACGTACCCACCCCAGTGTCCTGCTGAGCTACCAGTGTCTTATTCCTGCTGTATAGAACAAGGCACTAAAAATACTAAATTTTGTAGCAAAAACTCATGAAATTCAAATCACCTAGTGGATTTCAGGCTGATAAACAGCCACCTCAGGGAAAAATCCCAACTCAGTTCAATAATCCTTACCCCCTGAGTTTTGCAAGTTACAATGGCGCCCAACCTGTTCTGAAGAAGGCACTATAGGGTGTTTATGTTAGACTAGGTAAATTCAAAGGCAATTGGTGGTAGTTTTGAATTTTTATAAAATTTTGTATTGAATTTTTGGTCACAGTATACATTTTCTGTGTAGCTATATGGTGTATTGAATTTATCTGAAGGTACTGTGAATTTTTTTTTTTTTTCTTGAGATCATACAGGGTGGTCAACTTACAATGATTGCAAACAGAGCTTAATAAATACTTGTTTTTTTGCTAATTTTTTTCAAAGATTACAGATGTGAAGTATGATGGTAGGGTATAGATATTTGTTGAAAGAAAAACAAAATTAAGAACAGATTTTTTTTGTAATTTTTTTTATAAAAGCAAGTTAGTGATTGAATAATCTGCAGAAGATTATTAAAGTAGTTTTGGAGACAATTTTCTTAAATTATATAACCAACAAGGAATGGTCAATTT